TGCATCAAATAAATGCAGACTGAAAACTCTGAAAGTACAAGCCAAAATCTATCTTTCCTCCTTTAAGCTGATTTCTCCCAGGTATTCTGTCACAGGTACAGAAAGATGATTAACATTTTTTTTCTCACAATAGTTCTTGAAAGTGTGGCATGCAGGTTATGTTCATGACACATCTCAGTTGTAATAACATTTCAAATGTTCAACAGTCACATGTAGCTAGTGATTATAATAATAGGCAGTACAAATCTAGTCGATACAGGATGAAGGAAGGTGTACAATCATCTTCGATTGACTTAAGCGGGTAGGAAAAATAACTGAGGTAGGATTCAAGTGCTATAGACTTGCTCTGTGGAAAAGGATGACACCTATGTTTAAGAGTGATCCAAATAACTGAGAGAAGTCTGAAGCATACCTGTCATTCTGCTCATAAATGTTGAGACCCAAGGCATCCACGCCCAGCCACAACTCTGAGCCTTTCTTGTTCTTGATGCTGAAATAGTTCACACCATACATCTCCAGGTCTTGAGCAATCTTGAGATATTCCAGGACAGCATCCTCCCTATATGATACAGAATAGGAGAGGGGTATTGTTACAAAGTAGAGCTTCCATAGCAGACCCAGCAGCATAGAAAGCCAACTTGCTCTGTTTCTGACAATGATCTTGATAGCAGGACTTGGAAATGGATAGAACTTAAGCAAGTGACTACTAAAAAGAAAACACATTATTTCTGTTAAATAAAAACTGCTGACAGGAACTTAAAGAATAAGAACAGTCTACCGTGTTGGCCTCTGGAATATTAGCTGTTACAGAAACTATATTCTCCCTCCTTGGCATTGTGACATCCTCTTAAAAATGAGATTTGTTCCTCAACCAAACATCTATAAAATGCTTTTACAGTATTTAGAGAGCTCCTTTCCCATTTATTTTTAGGGGAGCAATTGACAAGATAGCCCAGAAGCTTCCTGGATACTCTGATCTTCCTTCCTTTTCATTGCACTCAAAACTGTTTAAGATGTAGGAAGTGGTGGAACACGCCTGTAATCCTAGAACCACCTGTACTGTGTGTTCAAGATCAACCTAGGCTACATAATGAAATAATTTCTCAAAAGAACTTCTGGGACTGGCAAGTTGGGTCAGTTGGTCATGGCATTGACAAGCAAGCCTGACAACCTGAGTTCAGTCAAATACTGGGACCTAAACAGTAGAGTAGAAGAAAATAGACTCCCAAAAGTTGCTCTGACATGTACATGTGCACCCTGGCATAAAGCAGAGGTGTGCATGTGTGGATGGACACACACACACAGAAATACAGAGACAGAAAGACAGAGACAGAGAGAGTCAGTGAGACAGAGACAGAAAAAGACAGACAGAAACAGAGAGGACATACAAAATAAAAATAATAAAAATAACATCCTGATGTTATAGTTAATGATCTTTCCAAGTTAGAGCCCTTTGCATTAAAACTTTGGTCTTACGAATTTAAAAAATGCCTAAACTAAATCACAGTCTTACAGTGATTCAAAGTTGCCTTCTATATTTAAATGTTAAAATCATCCCTAGTCTCTCTTTCTTAAAATCCACCAATGTATCTAATAATTTGCCTTTTCTTTATAGATACCATCCTCATTCTCCTTACAAGGACAGTGAAGCCCATGGCTGTTAGAAGAGGCTTACCTGAGCATGCCCCGGTGTTCCTCATGCCACACCTGGATCCGCTCTTCCCACTGGTCCTTGTTGAGTTTATGCTGCTCCAAGACTCTAGAAAGATAGTGAGTGGTCAATTAAGTACAGACCATAGGCAGGAGGGAAGGGAAGCTCACTTAGCTCTCTGTGGAGTTGATGCAAATATGACGTTAGCCCACTGAGATATTGCTGGATTCATACTGAAAATTAGACCTGAACACACTGAAACAGACATGAGAAACTTGCTAAAAGAAAAACCTCCAAGAACAGATGACCAAACAGAACAATGGAATCATCCTCTTTAGGTGCCCGTTTGTTTGTTTGTTTGAAGCAGAGTCTATTTGTTTGTTTGAGATGGGTTCTCTCTATTATATATACCTCTCCTATCCTGAACTCACTATGTAGACCAGGAGTCTGTGATCAGGGCCTAACAGTAAAGATAAGCAGAAATATTCTCTCCTAGATCCTCTTGGAGCCAACAGTTGGTGTTTATAAGACAGAGCTTTGCATACAGAGCAGGGAAGTGGTCACAAAATACTCTGAGAGAAACCAAGAGGTCCAAACCATAGTTCGACTAGATTGTTAAACAAGGACTGCTTTAAATATGCCATCTCAGACATCATGCCACTGACAACCAAAGCGTCCCAGGGCACAATTACCATCCCTAAGACCATCTGTGGAGTGTGTACACACCACAGCTCAAGCTTCATTTTTCTTCTCCTATTCTAATCTAAAAGCCTGTGGAAATAAATGGCCATCTGATACAAAATAAAACAAACCCCTTGTGCATTAAAAAAATTTTTTCAAGAAATTGGGGATTCAGATCAGTTCTGCCAAAAAAGTCTGCTATGGGAGATGGGGCAAATCAGAGTCAGCACCTCTGTATCGTTATTCCCTGAGCCAGAAAATAAGGCTGACGCTTGCCGTGTTTATTTAGCATTGTCATGACGTTAAAATAAAAATATCAAGCGTTTAAAAGCTTTCACCTTCGAAGTATACAAAATCAGAAAACTGTTGAATAGTACCCGTGGTTTGCATATTTTCTCTCCTGTGAATTTCTAAAATAAAATTTCATCAGTGAAAGAAAAATGGAACCAGGGGAGAGGACAAAACAAATCAACTCATCTTTGCTTCTACGTCAGCACCTATCCCCAGGGTAATGGAGCTTTGATATCAAAGAGCGAAAGGGGAAAAGAGCTTTTTGAGGACCGGAAATACAATCAGATATGATAGTATATGCAAATATGTCTCTCTCAGCAGCATAACACAGTCTTTAGACAGAACTCAAAGGGAAAAAATTTATCTGGCAGCCCCTATGGGGTGGGGATTAGTCAGTTTTGTCTGCTACCCATTACACACTTTAGCTAGGTCAAAGGAGGCCAGGGTAAAACCTCACCTTTGGGGGAGCAACTTATCTCCAGCCAGGTAGCCAGACTTGTGCACTTCCTTATTGAAGTCACCATACTTAGACTGGACAGCATAGGAAGCCAACAGCACAGCAGTTTCAGGTGGACAATAAATGTCATCATTGAGAATGCCCTCCTTTACTTGCAGAAAGAACAGGCGCTGGGTGATATCCTGGATCAGTTCTTCAGATACATCCTCTGGGTAAAACTTAGCCCGGAACTTGAAGAGCAACGGACTTTCCTTCCGCACATCCTGTGCAGTCACCTGGGAGGAGCAAGGAGGTTACAAAGGCTCTCCCAAAACAGATTGTGATGATGGGAGAGTGTCTGTGAGGCAGTCAGAAGACTCTGAAAAGCTATAAGTGTGGGTAATCTCCCAAGGCTGGGAGGCAACCCTCATACTAAATTTTTAAAAAGCAAACAAATAAATAAAAACCAAAAGTATTACTGTCATTGGGGAATGTTATATATATTTCTTCCTCTTAAGAATTTTCTTCTTCTGATATGAGGCCCCTAAACACATATACAGCAGAAGATTGCCAGGTCTGGGTTTAGTCAGAGAAGATGCACCTAACCCTCAAGAGACTGGAGGCCCCAGGGAATTTAGAGAACTGATGGGGTGGGGGATGCAGACAGGGGGTTGGGGAGGAGGTATGGGATGTGGAACAGTCGGAGGGTGGACCCGGAGGGTAATAAAATCTGGAGTTTTAAATAAATAAATAAATAAATAAATAAATTTTTAAAATTCTCAAAAAATTTATAATACACAATGACAGAAGCCACCACCATCTGACAATATAACTTGCTGATCTCAAATTCTGAGGGTATATTTAAGAATGTTCTTCTTTTTTTTTTAAGTTTCTTTTGTAAAATTTATTTTATTTTATATTTTTTCTGAGTGTGGACACACATGCATGCTTGGCACCTATGATGGCCAGATGAGGGCATCAGATTCCCTGGAATTAGAGTTACGAGTAGGTGTGAGCTTCTGTGTCAGTGCTAGGACTTTGAACCCTCATCTTCTAGAACAGTCAGTGCTCTTAACAGTTAATCCATCTCTCCTGCCCCTAAAGCTCCTCTTTCAAGTGTCTTCAAACTCTATAAACTATTGGAGAACAGCAAGTCTGGTTGAAAGCTCATAATTGGTTAGGTTAGACAATAAACCAGATGACCTTCTAAACCTGAAAATGGCTCCTAATTTATCCAGCAAATGTGCTACTTTGGGAGTCAGCAACATGATTCAGAGGGCACAGGCATTTGCTTCCAAAACTCTTTTAGATCCCGGGGACTGACAAAGTGGAAGAGAGAATTGACATGTATACCATGGCATGCACGCATGCATGCACACATGCACATGGACAGGCATAGTAAAAATATTTATAATATAGTAAATAAATACAAGTTACAAAGTTTTCACTCTTTAATAAAACAAGATTCTTTGAAGCAGAAAGTGAGATACCCACCTCCAGATACAATTAGCAAACTCAGCCACAGCACAGTATTAAATCCTCGAAGGTCAACTGTTAGCCAGTTTGAGGATATGAAGAGGGGAGTCTGCCAAGTGTCTCCAGAGATACTATTTGGGGCTCTCTCTGGCAACCCTACAGATCTCAAGTTTGAAAAAAAAAAGGTATCTCAATACTTTAAACCACTAAAATCTTTGGTCCAAAACAAATCTAATTAAAGAAGAGTCTCCACTTCCTTTGGCTTGACCATCTTGCTCAGAAGTCAAAGTTGCCTGTACTTCAAGGAAAGTAATAAATAGGACTACAGTGTTGGTCTACCTGTAACCACAAAACTCTGAAAGTGGAACCAAGATCAGATGTTTAAGGTCAGTGTCTGCTACATACAGAGCTTGAGACCAGCCTAGAATATGAAAGCCTTTCTCAAAATAAAACGAGGGGGATTGTTATGGAAGCTGTAGAATCAGCCAGTGAGACAAATAAGAAACGATCTTTTGTCTACAGAAGGCAGCAATCTAGCATAAACCTGGAAATCTTTGTCTAATTTCAGACAGCTAAGTCTAATCAATCCCTTCCATACAACTTTTAAAACACTCTGAATATTGGTCCCTTTGTTGTTTTGTTCAATATGTGACTGACTATTGCAGGTTTTCTAGCTAGCATATGTTATTCCCTGAAAGAACTTCTAACTGAGTAGTAAGTGATTACCTTCTTATTGAGTTTCAGCCAAGTAGAGAAAGCTTTTGTGTCCTGGTACTGCAGACCAAAGAACCAAACTTCCCTCAAACCGATAGTTTTCACCACCTGGAAAAGACAACAGAATAACTGGTTTAATATGTACCCGGTGCCAGGAAGCAAAGAACATAAAGGTGGAACCAACTTAAGCTACACTTAAAAGGTTTAAGGTACTGTTAGTCTCTCTTTTTTTTTAAGAACATGAAAGTAGAAGGGGAACAAACTATTTAGAAAAAGGACAAGGACCAATGGATGAAAGGAATGTCCTTATAATCAAATATATGTGCATGAAAGTGACACAAATCAATTGTTTTGTGCAATTAACATATGCTTAATACATAATTTGGACAGAAAAGAAAAGAATTGCTATCAGTTTCTTTGCCTACTAAGTACTACTGTGAACACTGGTACACACCAAGAACCTTGCATCCATTATCATCTTTAATTCTCAAAAAAGCTCTATGGTAGAAGTACAATGAGGCTCAATTTACAGATGTAAAGTTAAAAGTCCAGAAAAGAAATGATATGCCCAACATGCAGACAATGAGTGACAGAGTCAAGATTTAGCTTATGTCATATTTCTAAATCAAGCCAATTCTCATATGCTCTGCCACTGCCTTGCCTCCCTTCTCCCACAATGCTATATAGCTGTCTGCTCCCAGAATGGATTAGAGACTGTAGACAAAGATTCTTAGGTTAAATCCTGTATCATATTCTCCTGGGGAACTCTCATATATTGTTCTTCAGCATTTTAAAATTTATTATAAAGAATATTACATTGGGCATAGTAATACTTGCCTGTAATACAAGTACTCAAGAGTAGGTGAAGGCAGGAGGATCAGAAGTTCAATGTCATCATCCTTAGTTACACAGAGTCTATACCCATTCTGGGATACATGAGATCTTGTGTCAAATAGGGGTGAGAGCAGTTCGCTTAATCTCAGCACTTAGGGGACAGAAGCAGGCTGCTCTCTGAACTGGAGACCAGCTCAGTCTACATGTCAAGCTCCAGGCCAGCCAGGGCTAGTTGTTGAATGTCTGTCTAAAATTAACAAAGGAGGCACATTTAAAAAGACACAGATGAACAAACAGAAAAGGTGCAGAGATACAACTGGAGATGTGCAGAGTTCCTGTGTCCTCAAACACATGTCCCTTTAAGAACTTCCACATGTCTAGCTATCTAGAAGCTTCCCAATCTAGCCCTTTAGGTTTCTATGGAAGAATTACCTCACTATAATTGACTGTTTTGACAATCATTGATGACATCAATTCAAACATCACAGCTGTTCTTATCTTTAGAAAGTGAGGGCAATATCAATATCTAAGACCAAGTCTCACTTCCAATACTCCAAGAAAGAACATGTGGGAAGACAAAGGAGGAAGAATACTATACAGACACCTCACAGCCCAGAGCTATAGATACTAATATGTTTGGGGCCAACCTCTGTCTTGTGAAGAAGCTGAAGGGCCCTGTATTGTCCAGCACCCTTTGAATGAATAGAAAGAAGAAAAAGAAACCTGCAAGGAAAAGACAGGTGGAGCCTGTTCTTGGGGCCCTGACATTAGCATATTGATGGTCCAGTTGTAGGCTCCACACCAACATGCTCAAGACTAGGGATGGCCACACTAAAGCTAAGCCATATCCTGATGAAGTCAGGATGACATCACAGAGTCCTCATCTTTTCTTTTAGGTATAAAAGGATAGAAATAAAAATTTATGGTGGAATAAGTATGAAATCTAAGAGCCTTAACTAGAGAAACAAGAACCCAGAGTTGCCAACATTCCTTCCAGTAAACAAACAAACAAATACCTTCCTGGGACCACCTCATACAATAACCAGTCTAAGGAGAAGCCACGTTCCTAAGATATCACACTTTCTCTTTATAGCTGTCACATATCAGGAAATCTGAACAAAAATCTTTTATCAGTAACTTGCAGCCAGTATACTTCATTTTGCTGGTCAACTTCCTCATTATCTAATTGGGAGAGGAAAGTTGTCAAATGATTTCACATAAAGGGTTGGGTATGGGAAGATTTTCTTTTTAAGTTCTTGTCCTACATTTAACATAGGACCCAAGTAATAACTCTGATTTTCAATATATTTTCAGAGTTATGATTGAAATGCAACTGGTGGGTAAAGGAGAGTTCCAAACTGTTCAGATCCCAGAGAAAGAAAAGACCCACTGAAGATAGGATCAGCTACAGGACGAGCATGCCTAGGTACTGAAGGAGTGGAGCACGAAAGGAACTGAACTGGTAAAGCAACAATTGGCTTTTACGTAAATCAAGAGGCCAGTTGTGGCAGCTCAGAAAACCTAGGCCTGAAGGGGATTTTAATATGAGCACTGCCTCTTTTTTTGTAAGCAGAGGGAAATCAAAATGGTATGAATTTTCCACTTCCTTAAGCTCTTGAGCTTGGAGAGATGAGCAGTCTCTCAGCCTATGCTGAAGTTCCAAAGTGCGGATATGGGAGGAAGGAAATGCAGTCTGAAGTCAAAACTGATACTGAAAAAGAATAAAGGACAAAAGAGAAGACCTGTGACTACAGGCTACAAAGAAATCTCCAATTAAGGTCTATGGAGTGGTGGGAGCCATTTGCTCAGACAACACTTGGCCCCATTTCCAATTCTAAGAACAAAGAAACTGGGCGAGAAATTACTCACTTCCAATGTTTACAGTCACCAAGAAGTCTATTTCAGGTGGTGCCAGATTGGAGAGAGGAAAGACCTTGTTTTCCAAGTTAAAGAAAAGTATCTAGCTCTTTGTTCTAGGAATAAACCTCTGTGGCTCCAGTGAGTAGATTCCTATAAAGCTGACAAATGGCTCCCTTTGGTACTAGATATCCTTCTCATAAGACCTAAGCTAGTATTCCTCAAAGCTGACCTTAAGAAACCCTTAAGCAGAAGAACACAGTCATTGATTACATCCAAAAGGTCTGGGAATATGGTAGAACTGAGGTGCACGAAAAGCATAATGAATCAAGATAACTGGGAAATTATCCCAATAAATACATTTTGAATTAAAAAAAATTCTAGAGGCTGTGAATTCTGTTCTGTACTACACGCTACTATCCGTAGTAGACTGTGGAGAGAAAACAGGGCTAACACAACACAAGCTATTAAACTGAAGTCCATGATGTGCCTATCAAGTTGCCTTCAACGTATAAGTACAGCTCTCAGCTTTGGTCAGAGGATCTTCTGTATTCTGTGCTCAATAGTGATTGTGGACTTTTAACTGGCCCAAGTGCCAAGAATAAGTGACTGTTAACTGTTCAGCCTTAAATAAAACATCTAGATCATTTCCTCCAAGGCACCAAGAACATCAAAAAGAGAGAGCAGTTAGACCATCCAAGCTGGAAGATGTGGAGGAGTGCTATGAAATTCTGCCATACAGGACGGCCATTGCAGTCATGACCTTCCAGCACCTGTGATTTACACACATGAGACCTGCATAAGATTTGAGTTAACATCTTATCATGAAAAAGGGCATGTGAAGTCACACCCATCCCTGAAGATCTACAGGCAGTTACTGGTTGGTAATCATACTTCTGTAAATGAGCCTAAGGAAACTCACCGGGTTCTGGGGGAGCGGTAGACATGAAAGTAGAAAAGGGACTAGCTGAAACAGGAAAGAGATCAGCAGGAGTGGAAATCAGGACTACGGGAAAAAAGGGAGAGATGAGTCTATCAAAATACATTAAGTACATTTATTGAAAATGTTATACCAAGCTAGGCCTGGTGCTGTGCACCCATAATCCCAGCACTTAGGTGGGAGAGACAGGTGAATCTCTTGAGTATACAGAATGAGTTCTAGTGAGGGCTAGTACTACACAGAAAAATCTTCTCTCAAAAAATAACAACAAAAAAGAAAGAAAATCAATTATTATTATATGTATTTATCACAGTGATAAAAAAACCTACAAAGAAAACTTAAGTCCAAAGAAAGGAAGAGATTTGCCTTAAAAAAAAAATCATTGCTAACTTCTAGGAGCTTTGTAATGTAAGACAGATCCCCATTTACTTCTTTTCGATTTTTTAACTTGCAGAAGTCAATTCAAGAGACAGTGCTGCCTTCCTTGTATACTACCTGCACCTATTTGTGTAACAAACCAGCCATATCATGAGCCATCTCAGAAGCCCAGAGCCGCATTATAAGCAAGGCCAGAGACTTAAGAAAAAAATCTGCATGAGAAATTATGTGCAAAACTGCATTGCATCAATGCCCAAACATCTGAGTATGCTGAGATTCCATTACAGGCTGGCAGCAGCTGTATCATCACCCACCTAAAAGCAAATTGATGGTTAACTGGAAAAACCTGTAAGATGCCACCACAACATCTGCTTCTTATGTTCCACATCGCCTGTACTACAGTGAGCATCTTCTTCACAGAACAGACAGCACTCAGCCCAGTTTCTGCTTGGGGAGTAGGCTAGGCAAAGGGAATTCACGTAGGGCATAGTTGACAGAGGCACTGGGAAAACTACAATCTATCAAGATTCAAGGTCGAGCTATAACACTCCCAAATAGCTGTGTGAGTTTAACCAGAACTTTTCTCCTCACAAAAGCTCAGTTCCTCATGGTCTAGATGGGACTAGGACTAATATTAGTGTCATAATAGGTGTTAATCATGCTACAAAATAAACCGGAATTTAAAAGTCCTAATGTAAAATCTGCCAGTGATAAGTACTTCACTAAGTCAGAAAAGCTTTGCAATTTTATGGTTCTCTCAACTGAACTCCCACGACATTTCCCCCGTATGTTTGGCTATTAATAAAATCAACTATTAGAATGGCTGAAAAGCCAGACAGGCTCTCTATATTCATGTGCATATATACATGCAATAGCAA